TTTTAGCGTCTTTCAGTTCATGATTTTACAGCTGACAGCTTGTCTGAGAGACAAAACTGTAAAAAGACATTGTCCAGTACCTGGTCAGCAGCAAACAGAAGACACTGGTGGACATCAAGGAGCATTTAGCAGGTACAGAGACCGATATTTCCAAAAGTGTAACGGGTATGGTTTGGACCCGAATGCAGCACACAAGCGCTGGATGGTTGGTAACAGTCTTTATTGTAGCGTAGCTCACAGCAGATCAGGCAATACAAAAACACAGTCCGGAGATGAGTGCTGGTAAGTCCTGCATGAAGACGTTGAGAGAGACACTGACTGAGAGTGGAGCTGGTGAATATCTACTGGGCTGGTGGCAGATGAAGCAGAGGTGGAGTCCATGGAAAAGTACTGAGATGGGAGGATGGGAGACTGACTGTGAGACTGACCGTGACACAAAAGTGTCCATTGGGAGAACACAAGACTACAAGATGCACAATCACGTTTTAACGCAGTTTGTATTTAGTGTGGTGATATCTCCCATATTTGACTAGGCATATCTGACCTGTAAACTAATTAAGTCGAGGAGGGAGTGAACATTTGCATGTGCTAACATTTTACCCTAATTATAGTTCAATCAGGAAACACTTCAATTCAATGTTTTTACAACATTTATTGAGAGAAAAGAGATCTTATCACCCCTATGTGAGACCTCAGTGCAGGAATTCCCCCCAGGGGGCTGGACACTGGTGGTGGTGAGACTGCAGCAGAATCTGATTGGCCATTTAGAAACGCCTACAATCAGCTGATCAATAAGCATAGAGAGTGAGAGGTTTGAGATTGACTGAATGGGGGTAAAGTGACTGAACTTACACTGAGCCTTATTTAGTTACTCTGCTCCCAAGTGGGCAAAAATATCCAGTCCACAAATACATTATGATTGGTGTCAAAAAACATTAAAGTTCTATAACCTGCACTACTCCCTCCTGACCTGTCACCAAACTCTGCGTCTGCCAAACCCTGCCTCCCCTTCCCTCCAGGACGTCCGACTACATCACTGTTGATCTTGAAAGATTCTCCCTCAAACACAGAGGCAGACTCGGAGAGCAGGCTCTCCTGGCAGCAGGTCGTGTCCTAGCTAACGAGGAGATTGAGGGGCATATAGTATGTGAGGAAGAGGAGGAGGAGGAGGGTGGAATCAGGACCTGATGTGATCAGGTCTAGAGATAAAGAAGAGAGAATAAGGGGAAATAGAAGGAGAGAGGCAGGCATGGGAACCTTGCAGCCCTGGGCAGAGCCATTCAAATATTCATGTAGTGATGAGTGATATCAGCTGGCACACACACACTGAAACACACACTGAAACACACACACAGAGCGAGAGAGAGATACATATGCAGGCTGAAGCAAAGAGTTGCGCATTGCCCTGCTTGTGTTAAAACCATAAATGCAATTTGGATGAAGTGTTCAGTTTGACTATTCCTGCCGTCCTCGGGAGAATGAAGGCAGTAACTCAGTGAGTGTTTGCAGACTGTTGTTTTTCTCCCTGTGTGCAGCCTGCAGATGTGCCTGAGGACTGACAGCCTTAACATTAACATCTGGTTTCTCCTTTTTTTTTTAAAAACCCATAACAAACACAATCCCGTCACATTAACACAATCTTGAATGTGCTCCACGCTTTGATTCTCTTGCTCTAAATGAACACGCGATTGTACTATTGTAATTCCTTACCTGATAGAAACATCATCATTCAGGAGCAGGGACATAATCTATGGACTTACATTCAATTAGTCTTTTTGCTCAGCTAATACAGGAGAGGTTCTCTCACATAGAGACACTGTGGTCAGTTCATTGCGAGAGATAATCTCTTTTTTTTGGAGATGCCTGCAGGAGGAAGACATTTTCCTGGGACGTGGACACCACGATGAGGTTTTGCTGCAAATTTAGATAAGACCTGTTAGAAAGGGAGCGACGCCTTTGATTATAAGATGATTGACATTAAATTAAAGCTTGGCTACTTTGTGAAGGATGCTGTAATCCTCACATGACAGAATGACAGAATGGATCAGTATTTTAGGGATTTTTTATTCTTCAAAATTTACTGCCACTTAAATTCAAAATTTGAACCGAAGACTGTGTTTTCTGAGGTTTTGACAGAATCTCAGAAGTGATATTGATTGATAGCATATAGTTTGTGAGCGCAGTGAAAGTTTGTACACGATGTTTTGCCTGTTTCAACCCATTCATTTAAAAGAATTACTTATCTGTGGCATACCATCATTCTTATGATTGCTTCCGTATGTCTTTGTTATGAAAATCGACTTTCAGAGAATGAAATATTTCATGGGAAAGTAATCCATCACAGTCAACATAGTCATTTATTTATTAATGTCACTTGTTTGTTGTTTTTCAGCTGCCAGTATTTTATAATTCAACAAACGACTACATCTAGAGTTTCAGCTTTGGGATTTCATTTTCTCACAACAGCTTTTATACTGACCCTCAAAATGGGCTGGTGGTGCGTTGTTGAATGATCTTCTGTTGGGAGGTTTTCAAACATATCCCCTAAATATCACAGTTTAAATGCAAACTAACATCCTTGATAGGAGTTTGAGCACAGCTCTGCAGATACTGGAGTTTCTAGGGCCTGGCGGACACTCATGTATGTTTTTTTGAGAAGTGGGAATTATCTTATGTTGCACCTGTCTATTGTATGAGCTCGAGCTGCACAGTGGTTACTCAGTGAAACAAAATATGATAAATCATTTTAATGAGCAGCTACATGCTGAAATAAACATGAAGCTGTTGAGAGAACAGTTGAATAAGCCAAATCCAGCAGATTGTAAATGCAGCTGAGTCCAAGCAAAAAGAAACCAAACTGGGTTCATCCAGAGCTGCTGAGAGAACTCAGTGGGTAGGTACACACTGGACTCCTGGATTATGTTAGAGTCATGTAGAGAGGGACAAGGACACCCACCTGTATGTTATCCATGTAAACATCTAATCCTGAATAAACAAGGATTAAAAAACATTTTGATTTGTCGTTAACACATTTCTCAAGCAAATTTTAATATAAGTTTCATTGTGACCTTACGATGAACTGAAACTAATCAGTGTTTGGAGTTTGTGTAGTTTTCTTTGGAAAATGGTTATACATAATATGGGTGTAAATTATTTGTAGTTAATGAAACGTGCACGAGTCTAACATGGTCCTATAAGTCGTCTTGAATTAGTCCATCCAGCCACTGATCTAACGCTCACTCTCTCCATCCTCATGGCTCTTTCTCTTTGCTTCTCCTCCCTCTGTTAGGATACATCAGCATCTGGCTGGTCATTATCAGGGAGAAACTCTTCACTGTTCCTCCTTTGCTCTTTCTTCATCCTTCCGTTCACACTGAGAGTCGGCAGCATCAATCATACTGCTGAGCTCATTCCATTTTAATTGAGACGTCTATGTTAAGATGGACATGAATATTACATTCCACAGGCCCTATTAATATGCTAAGGCCGGTCTAAATGTTTTAATATTTGCTGTGTAAATTATTGAAATTGTGTTCATGGGCAGCCTACGATCATTCGTCAGAAATGTTTAGTCTCTGATGTTCACGAAGAGCTGGAATTCTAATGGCGTGCTGAAATACAGAGTGATTTCCCATGGTACACTGCTACAAGCGCTTGATCACCCCTCCCCGACGCTGGTGACCTCAGGATCGCCATTTTTAGCTTTCTTAATTAGAAAGAAAGACGGGGAGAGAGAGTGTGTGTGACAGGTATTTCTTCCTATCTCCAGGTCTGTCTTTCTGTCTCCCCATCTGTCTCAGAAGTCCCCAAGCATGTCAGACACCCACAAAGTCCGGAAATTATTCTTAAAAAATTCTCATCTGATGTTCCACTGAGTACAGACGCATTGAGCGGCGGCCTTGGCGATAAAGTTGGCGTTTCGAGTGAGTGCTCTCAGCAATTTAAAAAAGCTGGCTGCGCGGCGACAGACGTCATCGGCTGATTTTGCACACACGCGCGCGCTTGTGGCGTGTTGGTGAAGATGGATCGGGGAACAGATTGTAAGTGACATGTTAATTTCTTCTCCGTCACTCAACTCACGGCCGAGGCATTCACTATCAAAGTAAAGGGACACGAGGCCCAGCCGTCAAGGCTCTTTTTCTTCCTCTTTCTCCCTTCTTCTTCCGTCGTCTTCCTGTCGAGCATTTTAAGACTGGCTGTGATCAAGGTGATGTTTGGAGCAGCCCCTTCCCCCCACAATTACCACCACCACAAATACACACACACACACCCATGAAATAATGACTCCTGATAAGTCCCCCTGGAAGGTGTGCGTGTTTAAACAGTAAAATGGGGGAAGATGACAACTGTCAACGAACAGAGAAGTGAGAGGTCATTCTGGATGTGTGATCTTTGCACTCTGTATTGTGTTCCTGCAGTTTTTTTCATCATACCAGCTGCCAATTCAGGCAGCGACTACAGGAGGTTAGAGATTAGACACACATTTTCAAACTGAATCATCATAACTGGACAGTCACGCAGAGTGTCAGCTAAAGTTCAACATTATAAAAGCATTGTGTGTTTTTTTGTCCACAGCCTGTGGGCCTACAGAGACACCGTTTCCGCAGTCTCCCCCTACATTGTTGTCTTTGTCCCACATCAGGAAATATCAACTGTAAAATATTCTGAGTCATCTTCATTTTCAATGCTGTTCACATAAGGATTTTTATCCTAATAAATTATTGATAAAAATAATTGTATTTGTGTATTATTTGAGTGCTAGATTTATCAGAAGAACAATTGTTGTGTCCAATACGTTAGAGTTGAAAGAATATTTTCATTCTCAATGTTTTATTATGTTCTTATCCCCTCAACCTCCAACTGCATGACCTGTATTATTTGTGTGGATCTTAACGGTTGTGTAAATGTTAGACAGGAAAGTCGTGAGTACATTAACCAAACTGTGTGTGTGTGTGTGTGTGTGTGTGTGTGTGTGTGTGTGTGTGTGTGTGTGTGTGCAGGCAGCCATGGTATTATGGTTGGGGTTTCAACCTACCAAGGGGTCAGGCTCTGCTGGACAAGTGGAATCAGATCCCCGAAAACACGGACATCCTGGTCACACACTGCCCCCCACTGGGTAAGACACAGATTACAGCACACAAACAAACGCGCACTCATACACACAAACACACACAATGTATGCTCAGTTTTTTACTGTAACAGGCTTTCTTGAAATCATTCATTCATTCATTCAAATCAGAGTCCAAACACACCAATGACACAAAATAGTGTCATTGAGAACACACACATTTCCCCATAGTGGGAATAGGATTATTTTAATTGATCAACATTACAATACAGATCACTGCCATTGATCTACAGTTCTTCATTTACACTTCTGTATTACTGTCTTATGGTATCAAAAATGTGTCAACATGCTTTATTCATGCATTTTCCATTTTCACACGCAGGATAATTCCAAGTTTATTAAGTTCAGTTACATTTTATTTGTATAGTGCCTCATTTACTTTACACTTTGCTTTAAAAATAAATAAATAAATATTATAAAAATAATATATATATACCTGTTTGTGCACAGCTTCCCTGTCAAACAAATATATGGATTGAATAAACCATCAAAATATCAGGTCTGGAGATGAGACTTTGTCGAGTCTCTGCTGTCCCTCCCTCCACGTCTCCTGCACAGTGGTTATAATCAGAGTTTGTCCTTTAAGCCTTTTAGATGCAGCACACAAGTCTAAACTGAAGGAATGTCAAATCAGTGTGGAGAGCACTGACCACTGTCATAGACTCACTGTTGTAGTCTGATTTATGAATTGAAAACCGTATTTATTATTACAGCACACTTGTAATAGGAGTAACAATCTATAATACCTTTTAAAGCACTTTCTAAATAAAAAGATTCATATATTAATTATTATCTGATATTTACTGATGAAAAAGCAACTATGTGCAGTAATATAGGAAATTGCAGATGTGATACGTCATTGGAATCGTTGACTGCTGAATTGCAATCTAATTGTCAGTCGGACGTCATCACAGTCATAGACTGGCAGGCAGCACCTCCCAGCTCCCAGCTCCCAGCTCCTGTCCCGGCTGTGGTTTTACTTTGCTTGTGTGGAGCTGAGTGGTGATAATCAAAGGACACAGCTACCAGGGCCTCCAGTTTACGGCTAATTGCCCTAAAGACAAAAACAGGATAGTTTTACTGTGCAAACATTGACTGACGCATTCACACACCTCACTGCATTTAGCAACTGAAGCTGTGTTTCTTTTAGTCTAGACTATGTGTTTGTACTCCTCGTATTTTTCTAACAGAATAGTTTGCTCCTCGCTGTGAAATATTCTGCTCTGCTGCCACTTCTCCATGTTGGTAATTGGTTATAAACACTAAGCACCACCCTTTTTATGTACACATGCTCATATCATGAGGAAAACCTGGGTTGTCCTATCGAGTTGATCATCGTGTGACATCTTAGCCTGACTGGGTTTGACAGGTTAAGTTAAGCCAATAAAGGAAAGAGGTTTCACTCGCTTCGTAGTACAGACTCCAGGTTTACATTCAGAGTCTCGTCTGTGGTTCAGACAACAGCTCTTTGGTTCAGGTCAATGAAAGATGAGATCATTAAGATCAGATCAGTTTTATTGTCAAGTTGCATGCACAGTAATGTACACACAATTGAAATTTACCTTGCTCTCCCTCAGATCACACACACACACACGCATTACAGAGGGAGAGCAGGGCAGCCATTATACAGCGCCCATAGAACAGTTGGGGGTTCGGTGCCTTGCTCAGGTGCACCTCGGCAGCTCTGGAGCGAGCTGGCAGCTCACCAGCTACCAGTTTGCTTGCTTGGTCCAGTGGGGGACTCGAACCGGCAGCCCTCCGGTTCCCAGGACTGCGCCACCGCCCCAGATGCTGGTTTAGGTTTAGTGTAAATAAACATCATGTGTCTGAGGTCACTGTGAACTTCACTGACCTTAACAAACAAACAACAGAGCCATGAAACACTTTAATAAAGCTGGAGTCACTGCAGTTGGAGACTGTACCATAACATCAGATACTACTATAATATATGTTAACAGAGTGTCTGAATATTTTACTGATGTGTTCAGGATCAATCCATTTGCAACTCGTGAGTAAATGAACAGAACATCCTCAATGTATTAACGATGAGTGAAATCTGATCCCGATTACATTCACATTTGTAGTTGCATAAAGATAAGTGTAAGAGACAGGATTAAAATGACGATGCATGTAGGACTGGCTTTGATATAGAAACTACACTGCTAGTCAGACTTTGGCTACAACTTCTCCTCCGCATCACACTCTGTCCTCTACGCAGTCCACCTGCTGAGAAAGAATCTGTTTCAAGCTTGTTTCCTCCTGGCTGTCGTCGGCAGCCACGTCCAGACATCCATCAGGCACTGCGTCCCAGAGGGACATCCGATCATAGAATTGACTTCTTTCTTCTTGCAGAAGTCATCAAAGATTAATATTAAGTGCTCAGTGTTGTATGTGTCATCAGGAATGATTGCATCTTTACTTTTGTAGTCGGTTGTGAGAGTAGATTACACAACCTTTAACAGGATTCCAGTGGTTTTGTGTTATATTATCAAGTTTGTAACATGGTCTACATTTCATTTTTTACAGTTTTTAAATATGTGTAAAGTTGAGTGTAAATCCACTGTTTGCTGGTGGTTCTTCTTTAGTTTATAAGATCTAGTCAGTTGTCCATACCCCTATGAATAGGTGACAATGCAGTTATATGGCCACGTCTTTTTTTTAAACTATATAATGTATATTTACCCGAGTATCCATATACACATACTCAAATGTCCATTATGAATACGAAAAAATACAATGTGTGTACATATCTGCTGTGGATTGCAGATAAAAGCAGTGCAAATGGTGAAACTTTAAAGAATCATTTCATGTTGATTAGACGAAAGTTGTCATCAAATCAATGACTCACTGTACCACTTACCACACGAGTGGGCTTCCTGGTGATCACCTCTCAGCTTGTGCACCCCGGTCCTTACATCGCAAGAGAGCAAACACAGATGGTGGCGCACAAGCTTGACTTCCTGTAGATACTTCTCTGTGTCAAAGACATACACACGAGCAGACAGAGACACTCAGACACTCCTCTCGCTCTCACACACACTTTCACACCTCATCTCCTACTGCAGCTGCGGTGTTCAAATGTGAGTGAGTGTGTGTGATTGATTTCTGCGTCTGCGTCTCTGTGAACACGGCCATTTATTTTTCATTCAGCTTAGCCAAGTGTCTCCAGCTATCTGCTCATGAGCGACTAGCATATGGAGCAGCTACAGTAGGCGACTAATGCATGACACACACACACACGCACACTTACGGACACTCACACACACAAGGAAAGAAGAAAAGAAAAACAGAAAATGAAAGACAATAATTCTTTAAATTCCTGAAAGTGCCAGGAGCCAAGAAAAAGTGTCTAGTTTCAAATTATTTTTAAAGATAGAAGGAATAATGAATGATGGGTAAGAAGGTGAGGGCAAAAAGAATTGTGATCAAGATGTTTTGCACTGCAGCAAAAGCGACTCTTTTACGAGGCGTGATAAAGTGGCAGATCTGTGGCTGGAGAGAAAAAATATGGCCTCTTTATCTGGCTGTGAGGAAGAAGTTAACAGCAGAGAGAGACGGAGAGAAAGTGAGACAACAAGAAGGAAACAGGCTCAGTGCCCAAAGCAGCAGCTGCTTTGAAACAAGTGGCACTTTAGAGCAAAATACCCCGAGACACAAAAAGCCCTCGTAACTTCTAACTTCACTTCCACCGTCTCCCAAGACATGTAAAGAACACACTTAGAGTTTTAAGGCTTTCTTTAATTAAAGTGATTCTAATCGTGTGTTTTTACAGGTAGACACATTCAGAGGACAGAGAAGTCAGACTTTATCATTTTACCAGCATGACTGATTCACTGCCAGCTGAGTTTTTATGTCTGTTATGTATGAGAGGGTCCATTAACTCTGCCTCTGAGATTTTTAGCACTCGGGTAATAAAAAATAAAAATGTGTAAAGAATTTTAAAGTCATCCCTAGGGGCTTTTCTCTTTTTTTCTTTCTTTCATTTTCTTCTTTCTTTCGTAGTCGGACTTATTTGTACTGGTAAAGGTTTTAAAATGCTTAAAAAGAGTCAGGAACAGCTGTGTTAGCTCAACAGGCCATGTGATGCGCTCCAGCCAGTCAATTTGACCTCTTGTAATTTCTTTAACACTGTCAGTAAACCAAAACATCTCAGAATTAATGAATCAGATAATCATATGGACACGTTTGAGATGCACTGGAATGCTGTTTGTAAACCATCATCATCCAGCACTAGCAGTACTTAAAAGATGCACCTGTTATACCTTCCAACTATTGACCACATGTCTGTGGACTCTACTCTGTTTACAGATCAATTTAAGGAGTATATGTTGTCTTTAAACACTGCTGCAGTTTATTGAAGACTTTACCTGTAAAGTTGAGACCTCATCTCCCATGATTTGCGATTGATAGTCATGGTCCCCAGAGGATAAACGCCCTACTACCATTTGAGTTGACTCCCTGATCCTCTCCTCTAGAACAACTCTCAGGCCAAAATATCAATGTATAGAAGTGAAAAGTTTTCTTTTCGCTAGGACCTTACTTTGGGTACTTGTTTATTTACAGTACTTTACAGAGTAAGCAGTAAGAGTTCATCAGTACAAAAAGAGCTATCCTAATTTCATACCATGGGGCCATAGACATGGACGTCTTTCCCTGTTTGCTTATTTGTTCTCTTGTTATCTCTCTTTTTCTCTTTTCCTTGTTTACTTTCCTCTCCCTGTCTGAACCGAGCAACAGAAGGGAGAGAAGATGAGACATGAGCCCCTCAGTCATGTTATTTCTCTGACTTGATGCTTTTTAGTCAGCATCAGCACCATCCCTCCTCACAGAGCGGCCACTAAATCATATACACTCCATGCTTCATCCCTGTCACACATACTGTGAAGTCTGCATCTGTGTGTGGTAGTGATTGATCTTTATTTTTCCGCGGCTGCTTTCGAAGAGTCACTTTTATTTTGTGCTGCGTGTGCAGTTTGCTATAAGACAAGGACTGGGAAATGAGCAGCTTCGCTCTAAAATGTGATGAATCACTTTTTGGGGGGAGATTAAATTCATAACCACCCTGACGATACATTCAGCCATGGAAACACAGGAAAAGGTTGTTTTCCTCTCAGCGATTTTTGGGACTGAAAGAAACTTCATAAATGTAATAAATATAAAACAAGAAATACAACCTATTTAACTCTAGACCAGTTGACAACAATATCAACAGCAAGAAAGAATAGTGGACTGAATTCATAGTGACTGTACACAGCGTATTTTCCCACAATGTGATGCAATATTTAAAGGGTCTTACAGTATGTACTCACTGAAATATGGTTCTATGTAGAAAGATGTTGCTATCACTGTTGCTGTCCATCTCCACACAGTCAACAGCTACTGCACATAGTGGGAAGCAAAGCAGGCAAATATTATAAATCTCTGTTTCACCACCGCAGGATCTTACTGTGGGGGCGAGAGCAGGGCTCTTTAAGTCGTAGCTGGTTTGTTTAACGGTGTGTTTGTCTGCAGGTTTCTTGGACTGGGTTCCGAAGAAGATGCAGCGTGTCGGGTGCATGGAGCTGCTCAACACGGTCCAGAGGAGAGTCCAGCCCAAATTACATGTGTTTGGACACATCCATGAAGGTGTGTGCACGCGTTTTAACAAGACAGGATTGACAGGATGAATGGATTGTTATTACAACAGATGGCAATGTGATAATTCACTGAGCTTGAATCTCATTGAGTATGTAACAAGCATTTTAGAGATCAAATCTACTTAAAAAAAT